TCGGCTTAATAATAACATAATATGATTTATACCTTTGCATTGAGGATAATATGCGTCGAGAGTAGTCATCAGTTATATTTAACACTAAAATCGACCGAGTTCCGGTCAAGAGTTTGAAGTTGGTCCGACAAAACGGCAGCGTTTTTACACATATATATATGGGTACATCCATATGCGAATAGGAAGGTACTCGGTATATAGGTACAGATCCGTTTAAGTATCACTCGGCTAACGTTGGCGGCAACTCATGTGATTGATGGTGCTTTAAATATAATAATACATTATGTGCCTAATATGTATCCACTATTGTAGATGTAGAAACGTGAGTGTGAGTGTATGTTATTATGTATTATACCACGATCATAACAATTGATCGCGTTTTAATCTCTGCATATAGGTACGTATAATATTATATAGTACGGAAATAATACGATGTGTGGAAAGGTAGCTTAGCGGTAAACGGAGGATAATAATAATAATAATAATAATATTTTGTTTACTGAAAGCGCGAGCTACCTATATAGTGTACCTGCCTTCATACACTATATATTAATTACAATAATATCATCGTTTATACTATACTCGATAGGATCTAACATCCTCTATCAGCACCGTGCGCGGCGGTTTATTATAACGTATAGAAGACATTAGGCACGCCGAGTGGAAATTAAATAGTTTAAAAATATATACGTATACTACATATTATTATACGTACCGGATAGTTGCGATATGATGTATCACGCGTATAATTATAAGTCGTTTTGTGTGTGCTTTCCCATTTTAGTGCGTTTAAATAATAATAACGCGAAGAGTGTATAATAATGTTTAGGTATGTAATATATCGTGCGTAGCACAGCAGTACCGGCATTGCTTAACTCACGAACAATTTCGTATTTTGTCTAGAACATTTTGGATAAACACCTAATATAAAATTATTCTTAATCCCCGAATCCATCCAACCCTCAGAAGAAAAAATTGTCTGTTGCACCCGAGTTTTTCCTGCAGGTTTGTGGTAAAATAGAATGACCCGGTAACTTTACAAGGCAAATTCATTTTTATTTTAACAAGCAAATCTAATAAAACACTTAGTCAATCATGTAAAGAGCCGAATCTATCAATATTTCCTAAGAAACATCGTTAAATACATCGTTTACTGAAAAAAAGTGGACATTAACATTGTTACATAGTCATGATAATGGTCATTAACGTGAATTCATTAATTCACGTCTCTTTGATGACGATATAATATATTTTATAAATATGTAAGTAATAATACTACTAATACTTATACTATAGTTTATAGTTACATCCTAATAATGATAATAACGCGATAAGAACAGTAACAATATTAATAGTTATACAACATAATAAAACTACCTCTCGCAAAATGGTCGGTACCCTCAGGTATTATATATATATTATATAATATGTATAATTTACAACACGAAGACGGAATAGAGGTGCACCGTAAAAACATTGTAAAACGCGTGATTTCGGACGTGATGCACACTGCTATATATACACAATATAATATTAAACTCGTGTATCCGCCGCGAGAAATCGTCTCGGGACTCCACAGCATATGAATACGGATAATATCATAATCCCTTCGTCCCCCCCCCGGACACGACCCCCCATCACTTAGTCATACTCGGTCATCGTCGAGTGGACTCGTAGGCGGATCCGACGATATATATATATAATATCAGCATACGTAACACATGTGTATATAAAAGTACGTATATTTACCATGTAATTTTCCGGCTATCCGTCGTTATACATCCCTGACCTGCGCTCGATTCCACCCGGTGACCAGTCCAATGTACACATGACCTACATACATATATATATATATATATATACAAATCGTATACAATTTGCATACACATGCTTAAGCACACATACGCGTACAATGATCGAGCCACATAATATATAACAAGACTTAGCCGACTTGACCTAAGTATCGAAGTCGCAGATAAAATAGCAGACTGTTCTATATACACAACCATAGAGGTCTGTGTTTTTACATCAGTTTAATTATTGACATTTTAAATACGCAAATATGACTGCAGTCTGCAGTGACCAAAAATAATAAATGAATATACTGGATTTTATATATTATTGCTATTCGGTTCTTGTCAATGACTAAATAATCGTAAATACGGACCGCTTCGATAAGAAAAGTCAGCCATTTTCCGAGTTTCAACAAGCTTTACATTTCGACCATAAGAAGTCATGGACATACATATTTGGATTACGGTGGGGATCCGTAAGCGATCATGACGATGATGTATGGCAATAAGGGGAAGGGTTAATACACACCTATATCATCGTGTATAATATGCGCTCTATACGCATAACTTTTTTTTCGCCGTTTTATGTGTTTAATTGTAAACACGTAATATTATATATGATATTATTATATTATGTACAGTCGAGAGTCATTTAATACAAATTAAACAGTTTTTATATAATATAATAGTTTGATTCGATTTCATATCGTTTGAAAAATTAAACTTCTGTACCGATAACGTTTATTGTACAACACTAATATATGGTAAATGTATACAATATTATCATAGGTGCAGCGTGTACATGCTAAAGATAATTGTATTAGACTTTACTATTTGTGTATACTGTTATCGAGAAGTGTGTTTAGACATATTGTTGTTATTACCCAATTAAATAATAGCTTCATAATTAATCAATTTTTATGATTTTTTTTCTTGGTGTAAGATTTTATTAAAATTAAAATTCAGAAGTTTCTAAATAAATTACCCATGGCCAATATTATTCAATTATTATCGCTTATCAGAATATTCATTATTAGTACTAAACAATGTATAATATTCTTTGTGCCCTCCCCTAATCTATAATATCCCTTGATTGTGACTCTATATATACGTAATATAACAATAGGTATTGGTATAACTATATACCTTTTGTTATCACATAAGATAAAATTTCTGTAGCAGCGTACGCATGTATGATATGTTTATAGACATACTTGGAATCATATTTTTAAATGGACTTCATAGAATATTTAACATTATATTATTAAAGATTGCAAGGATTAATCACATGTATATTTTATTAGAATATGAGCTAATATTTCCTATATTTAGAACAACCTATACACAAGATCTCAAGACACTCAATATAATGTGTTTAACGTAAACTAAATATTCTTGTGTGCGCGTGTGTGTAAATATACATTTTGTGATGCAGGAAGTAAAAACGGAAATGCAACGCGCATCCGTCTGTCGATGGGTCGTGTGCTAAATTTAGAACCACTAACCAGACTCGCGTGTAACATGTTACCGAAATCTAAAAGCGTATACCTTCGGTTTTTTGACGTATTGGAATAAACGTCCGTGATGAAAATTTCAACATCTACCTGTATATACTGTTCATATTATATTTTCTATTGGGGGTGTGACCACGGTCATATACGCGTGTGTATATAAACACATCACCGCAGCAGACGTCGCATGTCAACGTCACTAACTCCAGCCCTTATAATTAGTTTATGTGCAGGGTGCCAGGGTGATTTAAATTTGTATCGTTATTCAGTTGTTAAGTACTTTTTTCCCAAATGTCGAATAAACTTAACTGTTAAAAAATATACGAAAACATTATATAATATTAATCGTTAAATTAAATCCGGAAAAATGTTTATTATATCACTTCAGTTCTCAGTACAAAACATAACACTACCCCTGCTTCCCTCATTATAAATGTCATAAGTCATAACATATATAGCTGGTAGTGGTACCCGCCGTTCATATCGTGGTACAGATAGATAAATGATGTCTCAACGTCTCGTATCGAATCTGATCACAATAGTCGTGTAATTTTATCATGTACACTACAGGTATTATCATAATGAATCGAATTCGTGTAGCAGTAAAATTCTACAATAAAATCAGAGTAGAAGAACTTTTTTCGATCAACATATATTTAGTCTGTATACTGTCAGACGTAGTAAGATATAACGCGTGCGTGCTGCTGTGTACGTCGGTGTATAAGACGTTATAATACAATTATATTGTGCAATGCGATCACCGCTTATTATAATAAATCAAGGGTACAACCCAGTGACGGTGTGTAATGTAATCGAATGTAAAGTCTTCTAGCAGCACGTCATCTAGGTATACAAACCTACCGTGTGTAAATTACACGTGTATGTATAGTTGCAGGCAAATTATACATCACGTTATATGTACATGTATATTATTAAAGTATATACAAGCTGTATGTGCATATTATAATTACAGAGTTTGGCGAGTACTATAGTTAATTCATTTATATTTACTAAAAAATCATAACATTTTTTGTATAATTTAATTATTATTTAAAACCATAATAAATTAATATTATATTGTATTCGATTAATATTACAAATCAAAAACTTGAAGCCGGAAATAGTCGTTTGGACATAACGATAATATTATTATAAAATATACAGGCGGTTCTTACTTATTAGTTATTATAATATAGGTATACAAATGTGTAAGTTTAATATCACGTATTATAAAACATAGGTAACAAGTTTCATCAAAAATAAATTTTGTGCGTACGTGCGTGTTTAAAGTTCGTGTCAAGGAATAGAATAAAAAAAAAAAAAAAAAAGTTTTTTATTTTGTGTACACGCCGTTATTCAACAATAACAACAACAATAATAAAATTATATTCATAATCGTGGTTCAATATAACATACACACGGACTCGTCTCCAAATACAGCAGCTTTTTCAATAATCTACTATAAACTCTGGATACCATGTTATGAACTGCTGCTGCAGAAATTATCAATCTATTATTATAATTGTTATTTAATACATTTTAATCGTTTTTTGTTTTATTTCGATCTATCTCAGTACAATCTAAAATACTTAAGTTCATATTTTATAAAAATTATTTGCAACGTAGTATGACTATTTTAATTCATCAAAACACAGTGTTGATTAAATTTTAATTTTATTTTTGTTTTGTGGTGTAGATCACATGGACTGACGGCTCCGGTAATGCGATTGAAGATGACATTGAAACGTCTATCAATCCCATGGCTACTGAGAACAAACGGTTTACCACTAAATCCATTTTGAAAATTGTACCGAAAATGGAACACCACAACACGTCGATATGGTGTCAGGCGCACAACTCAGCTGTTGACAAAAAGTTACAGACGAAAATCCATTTGTATGTCAAATTCGCTCCAAAGGTTAGTACTCGGCTAGACCGCACGTTTATAATTTATTTTAATATAGGTCGATTTGCCATTTGCAAAGCTGTAGTTTCACCACCGACATATATTATACACTTACCCTAAGAATTCTAATTTTTGAAATTATATTATGAAACAAATAATTTATTTGAATACCGCATATTTTCAAATACTTAAGAAAATGTTTATGATAACATTATTATTGATAAGGGGATGTAGTATGATGACTGTAGTGTATAATGTAAACTTTTACTTATCAAATAAATTTGATCCTTATTTGTCGAAACCGAAATATTAGATCAAGTATATAGTTTTCAAGTTATTCTACTTTATGCTCGTACAATAAGAACTTAAAAGCCTGCTAGAAATTTGAATATATTTTATAAATTATAGTATATATATATGGTTTGAATTGTACTATAATATTACAAAATGACTAATAAGTAAATCGGAAATATTTATTTAAATACTTAATAACTCGAATAGTTTTCATAAAATATGAAATGTATTTTATATTTTATGTACATTATCGTAGATTTGAAACTCAGTATATCTACTGTATATATTCAAATATTCATATATTGGTATGTTTAATTCATAAAGTTAGATTATAACTTATGAACTACTCATTGAATTTTCTATTTCGAAGAATTCAAATTTCCTGGAAATTCTAAATAAGTATTAAAAACATTTTTATAAATCACTAGAAATTATTTTCAAAAATTCTTATTCCGAAAATATACAACTACCAGTGATACAGTTTGTAGAGATGTAGTGTTAGGGAACAGAATCCTGTGCATTCTCGGAGAATCTATTTTTATACAATATATTATTTAAGTACGGACAGTGAAGATAATATTGCTCAAGTGTATAGAAAATTAAAAAAATCCGTAAATATATATTTTTCAAATATGGTTTAATACAAAAAAAAAAATTGTCGATTTAACACGAAAATCCACTTATAAGTCACATCGTGGACATGGATAAGACAAAATGTAAATCACTACATAAATATAATTATTATGCTATAGCGTTATTATGTTATACTCAGGTAGTATAATGGATGCTTTTTATTTTTGCAGCTATTCTCCAAATTATATAATATTATCTCATGGGTAGATAATAGATATTATAGATGTAATATTTTTATGAAATGTATTTCAGGACGACGCACGACACATTTTAGGAGTGCCCCACGCGCAGCTTAATAACATATTATACCTATTATATATATATATCAATGATCTATTCACTATTGTACGAGCAAACGTGTACTATTATTATAATCTCACGAGCTTCGCGAAAAACGTTGTTTTCTCAAATAATACCCGTTGGCGGTGTTGGGGTCGTCTATTGCTTACGCACCCATTTATTTAAATAATATATATAATAGGAGGGATGCAGAACAATACGGATAAAGTGTACATAAAACATCTATATGAGTAGGTTTATTATATCATATTACGAAATATAATTCATAAATAGAGGTAATACGTGTATACCGTTCAGGAGTGTTAAAGCGCAACTCTAAATAATTTTCTCCGAAACGGCGCCAACTAATAAAGTTTATTATTTTTCTACGCACTCGCTCGCACTATTTTCCCCAATTTTCTGCCTGAACCATAGAAAGTATTGCCGTCAACACTACCACCATCGGCAATATACTATAGCAGTACTTACGTTTTTATCATATACAATATATACCTGATATACTATCTATAAACAACTTTGCACTTCTATATAAAATATAATCATATTTTTTTTGGAAAAATATTGTAACTCATACAGGATGATACTTTTACATAGAAAATCAGACAATATCTCGAGAAATATAATATATCTACGTCATATTATAAAGCAATTTTTTTTTATTTAAAAAATTTGAGAGCAAATAATATTTTATTATTATTTAATTTTTTTTTAATTAAAAAAAAAAAAATATGTTTTTATTTTCTGAGATACTCTCTGGTTTGCGATAAAATAATAGCTATATATATTTACCTACGTTACACACACTTCTTGTACCCAATAAATACAATTGTCAGCTTGCTATTATTTCATTCAATAATTTAAAAATATTTATATAAAACGATTAAACACTCATTTTTTGGAAAAATAGGCCTTAGTAGAAATTTACTTTTTGAAAATTAAAAACCTACACGTATGTAACTTTTACATCTTGTATATTATCATTGAGCTTATTAGGTATTACTTTCTTATTGATGAAGTAACCGTACAATTTAAAGTGTATATTTAATGAATTGTACATTACTTGAACAGTTTTTTATTCATTTAAATTATTGTTTTGAGTTTAAAGTGAATAGAATAGCGGATAATTTATCCTAACCTTGACTGAGTTATTTATCTTTAATTCTCTCTTGTCAGAAAACTCAATCTATATCCCAATTACTAGCATAAAAGCTATTCAAATTTCATATTTATATCAATATATTTTGAAGAAATCAGTTTCAGATTATGAAATTAGTATTATTTTAATACAATATGTAGATTGAAATCTACCAATAGATATATGGATGAATAATGTTTACGAGAAATAATATATAATATATTATTTTTTAAACAAGAAGTGCTTTCATTGTGGTTAAAAGAATCAACCCGGTATATAAACACGTGTGTTATATTTTCAGTCCGTTATTTTTCTCCTTGTGAAAATATAGTTGTAATATTTTATCGAATAATATTCCATGTGCCAACTTATTATTGTTCAAATATAAAGTAAAACAATTGAACTGTAACCTATGTATTATTATAATATCAAATATGATCAAATATGTAAGAGCATATCATTCGTTTTTTAACTAACACAAGCAGTTATAATAATAAATACAAAACTATTGGTTATTGTACACGTGTAACTGTATATCAGTTATATTATACAAAAGTAGATATACTGCTTAGTTTTAAAGGACTTGATAAGAATCGTCGTTTTTGAAATTAATTAAAAATATATTTTTTTCAACGTTCCTATTACCACAAAATGCAAAACGAATGCAGATTGTCGTGTATATAGTATATACCTTTGCGTATTGTGTGGTGGTACGGGTTTTATCAGAGATTTAATTAATTTACGATTCATATATAATGCGGTGTTCGTATATATTTATCTAAAAAAAAATTCGAAATACAAATACAAATGCAAATTATATTTATACAAGTTTCTTTCAAGAGATCTGAAACTAATTAAAACACTTAATACCGTACGGCCGTTTATGAATTATACGAAGAAATTAAACTTTCTTGAGAATACATTTAAATTTTAACTGTTTAATATTATAATGTATACATACACATTATGCAAACACGCACATACATATATAGGGTTAAGTATTTTACCGTGTACTAGTCAATTCGTCTCACCGAATATATTATGTACAAGTTTGAGTTTTCCCGTTTTTATAAAAATAAATTTATGGTAACTAAAATGTATCAATTTGGAAAACTTTTCTTCTATAATTTCGATAATTTTCTCGATGCTGATAGAATAAAAGAAAAACGACATTTTCAATATTTGTGCGATAGATAGTTCATAAATATCACTATATCGTTACAAATTATCATCACAAAGATTAGTGGATCGGACTTACGTATACATTGTGCTATTTCACACAATTTTCTATAATTTTTTTTACAGTATTTGCTAAAACCGAAAATTATTTAAAAGATTTGTATTCCCGTTTATACATAATATGAGTGTATTTATTAAATTAAAACGATAAAAATATTGTTCGTTTATAAAATCGTCATTTTTTACTCGTGATCAACGTAAGCGTAAATTTATAAAAAAAATATTGCAAAGTTCACTCGCCTTTTTGTGTATAATTACCTACAATATAATATCTATTTTTATTTTCGATTTTCATGCTAAAAAATCATTATATATAATAATAGAGTAAAGTGTGCGTGTGATTAATACGCGATCTACCATCATGGTGTTTGTACGGCATTACGTTTTCGGCTTAATGCTTTTTAATATTAATCTATTCGGTACTTACCTATATTATATGTGCGCAAACAGTTTTTCGATCGTACGGTTTGATAGTGTAACATGTAGCAACAATCAATCAGATATTCTGTTCGATTAAAAACGCTATGCGATACGCATACACCCTAGCGGTTATTATTTCAGTCCAAGATAATTAAATAATGTTAAATAGATCGAAATTAATACGACGTACTCTTACGGGTTTTTAAGTAGGTATAGGTACCTACTACCTATGTATTAAAGTAGTGTGTGTTGTAATATCGACAGGATCGAAAAACAAAAATTGTGACTGTATGATTAATATAACTATCACTTATTGGATCGTACCGACGACGCCAACGACGACGACGATGACGTAGGCATTTTAATATTATTTATTCGATTAAAGGATTTCAAAATCGAATCGTCCCTGAAATAAAGTGAAAAAACAATTCGTGTATTAGCAGCCAATATAGTGCTTGATATTCGGCAAGTTGTTACGGCAACAACCAGTTTGTATGTTATTATCAACGATCCGAAAAAGTCGCGTATCGACAAAGTTTTTGTATTGACACAACTTTATTTATTACAAAATAGGTACCCAAAACTTCCTACTATAATATTTACAGATGATGGGTTACTTTAATTACTAATTAGTTATTTAATCTGTACATTAGTATGTTTGTTGAAAATATATTTTTTTAAGAAATTTTTTAAGATTTTGAACGATAACGTGTATCAAACGTCTGCTTAAAAATATGAATATAAACTCGACATTTTAATTGGTACTAAACCATTTTTTGGCATATTTTTATTTCATTTTTAGGATTAAAAACAAAATTGCACAAATAATATAAATAAAATCTTAATTAACTATTTAAAAATGTGCAATGATTGTTATTTTTAATGTCTATTCAATTCAAAATTAAAGTAACCTTTCACCTTCAGTTTATTATATATTAATTATAATATGACATTTTATCTTAAAAGTCACAGCTACTTTGTTTTTAATTCC